TTCTCTCAATGCTGTCTCTCATCTCTCTCTCTGCTGTCTCTTCTCTCTCTCTCTCTCTCTCTGCTGTCTCTCTTCTCTCAATGCTGTCTCTCATCTCTCTCTCTGCTGTCTCTTCTCTCTCTCTCTCTCTCTCTGCTGTCTCTCTTCTCTCAATGCTGTCTCTCATCTCTCTCTCTGCTGTCTCTTCTCTCTCTCTCTCTCTCTCTGCTGTCTCTCTTCTCTCAATGCTGTCTCTCATCTCTCTCTCTGCTGTCTCTTCTCTCTCTCTCTCTCTCTCTGCTGTCTCTCTTCTCTCAATGCTGTCTCTCATCTCTCTCTCTGCTGTCTCTTCTCTCTCTCTCTCTCTCTCTGCTGTCTCTTCTCTCTCTCTGCTGTCTCTGCGGTGTCTCTGCTCTCTCTGCTGTCTCTGCGGTGTCCCGCCCCTTCCACGGGAGGGAGCTCAGGTCAGTGAGCGATCTATCAGTGTCCGCTTTGCCATCGACCTAATGGGCACCCCTGATCTAAAGTATCAATTGCCTAAAACAAAAAAAGCCTCAAGTTGTCGCCAGTACACAAGGCGATGGGAAATCTTCCAAAGGGAACATCCATCTCAGAGGGGAATTCCCTTCACTTTAAGGAATTTCCTCTGACTTCCTGTTAAATCTCTGGGACAGGAAGTGAAAAGAAGTTTCACAATCCTACACAGACGGCATTAAAAAAAAGAACCTTTTAGGGGTGTTTGTTCTTTCCGACTGTATACTAGATAAATAAAGTTTTAGCTATAAATCTAAAGAGTCCGTCTCTTGATTGTTTTTAAAACTGACAAAGCACCATGAAGAACACGTATGGTTATTCTCTTTCCCGGGTGTTCAGATAATGGTCTAAATCAGGGCTGCCCACAATTTTTCGTCTGGCAATCTACTTTTCAAATGACGAGCTCAATAAGATCTACCAATGAAAAAACACCTGCGTTCAGGGGCGGGAGGGGGCATGGTGGTGCATTGAAGTCAATGGCACGGCAGCCACGCCCCCCGCCCGCAGAGCGATCGCATGCACCCGGCACACAAGCACATTAGTGCCTGCATTCCGGTCTAGTGCGATCTGCAAAAATGCTGCACGCCAGCTTGCGTTTCTGTGCGTTCTAGAGGCCAAACACTCTGGAACGCAGACTTTGTGGTGTGAACTGGCCCTCTCTCTTGGCCGTCTCTTCTCTCGCTCCTTCCCATCTGCGGCGTCTGACACATTCAGCCGCACTAGCACCGCGGGAGGGAGCTCAGGTCAGTGAGCTGATCGCGATCTACCAGTGTTTGCTTTGCGATCTACCTAATGGGCACCCCTGGTCTAAATGCTGTGTATATGGAGCAGGGTGCCGCCATCTTGTGCGGGGCCTAGCCGATCCCAGAAAATGCTGTGCATCAGGGGTGCCCATTAGGTAGATGGTGATCTAGCAGTCGCTCTCAAAGCTGATGCTGGTAGATCAGGAAAAGGTATTTTTTTACATTGGTAGATCTCATGTAGCTCATCATTTGAAAAGTAGATCTTAACACAAAAATTGTGGGCACCCCTGGTGTACATGCTTGATGTGCATATAGGGTTGCCACCTGTCCGGGATTCACCTGGACAGTCCGGTTTTTGAGTCTTGTGTCCGGGTTTCCAGCCAGACACTAAGTGCCGATACCGGCACTCTAAATTTTCTTTGACAGATGTGGGTGCTGAGGTCCCCAGCAAGCATGGGACCTCAGGCAGCCACAACTGCTTGAAGCTTCATCTTCCTGTAAACCCCTGCAACTGTAAACAGGCGCAGACTGGCCCGCACATCACCTCCTTTGTCTGATGCCTCTGGAACCCTGGTGAGACAGCGCACAGCCTGCACAGCAAAGCCTTCATAGCCCATGTGAGAGTCCGCATAGCCAACCTGAGAGCCCGCATAGCCCATCTGAGAGTCGGCATAGCTCCCCTGAGAGCCCGCATAGCCCACCAGAGAGTCTGCATAGCTCCCCTGAGAGTCCGAAAGCCCACCCGTGAGTCCGCACAGCCACATGAGAGCCCGCATAGCCCACCTGAGAGCCCGCATAGCTCCCCTGAGAGTCCGAAAGCCCACCTGAGAGTCCGCACAGCCACCTGAGAGCCCACACATCCTCCTGAGAGTCCTCATAGCCCACCTGAGAGCACGATAGCCCACCTGAGTACCCCACATAGCCCACCTGAGAGCACGATAGCCCACCTGAGAGCACGATAGCCCATCTGAGACACCACATAGCCCACCGGAGAGCACGACAGCCCACCTGAGACCCCACATAGCCCACCTGAGAGCACGGTAGCCCACCTGAAAGCCCACATAGCCCACCTGAGAGCACGATAGCCCACCTGAGACCCCACATAGCCCACCTGAGAGAACGATAGCCCACCTGAGTACCCCACATAGCCCACCTGAGAGCACGATAGCCCACCTGAGACCCCACATAGCCCACCTGAGACCCCACATAGCCCACCTGAGAGTCCGAAAAGCCCACCTGAGAGCCCGCACAGGCCACCTGAGACCCTGGAGACATCATGGTGCCACCCAGGAAACAACACAGAGTATGTAGCTGCTTATTACTTTGTATTGCTGTATAATGTATTGCTGGTATTTGTAGTCCTCTATAGCCGGTCCCCTTACACCCTCCCCCGGCTGCCTCTCCTCACTCTCTCTATATTCTAAAATTAAAGATGCAGTGCACGGTGGAGTGTTCAGATTTTACTTGAAGAAAAGGTGGCAACCCTATGTGTATATGAGTCCGGCCAGGGAGTGTGCACAGCACCATGGGGGCGAGACAGCCTCGGCGTTCCCTTTCCTAAACAGTGTGAGGCTATGGGAGGAAACCGCGCGGTGCCACCAACACTGGACACTCCAGGGGAAGATTTATCAAAACTGAAGCAGTTGCCCATGGCAACCAATCAGCTTCTCTCTTCAGTCTGTTCAGCTAAGTTCTGAAAATGAAAGATAGAAGCTGATTCGTTACTATGGGCAACTGCTACAGATTATGTCAGCTTCAGGAAGTAGTGTCATTATAATATCAAAACAGTGGGGGAGGCATTTAAGAGTTTTTCTTTTTATTCAGTGTCATCTTGATGTATGTTAAAGAAAACAGGGGTGGGCAACCTCGGCCCTGCAGCTGTTGTGGAACTAAAAGTCCCACTGGGCATTGCAGGACTCTGACAGTCACAGGCATGACTCCCTGAGGCAGATGCATGCTGGGAGTTGTAGTTTTAGCACAGCTGCAGTGCCTAGGTTGCCTGCCTCTGTTTTACAAAGTAAGTAGTGGTGACAGGTTCTCTTTACAGTACACACATTTACAGTATCACACTTGCTGTTGTTCTTTTCTCACTGTGAGAGCACTTTTTACTGATTTATTTTAGTAGCTATCACATGAAATCAAATTAAAAATAAATTATATTTGATTTGCGAAGCCATAAATCCCTTCCTAGTGAGAAAAGCTCAGCTTATAGTAAATAAACTATATTTCCCAGCATCCTTCACTCCAACCTGCCAGTACTTCCGCCCTTCTTTCAGAACAGCGCTGCGTTGCCGAGTGTCTTCATTTAGGGAGGCCATTTTGGCGTAGCTCGCATATTGCATTACAGCGAAGTTGGGCTTCTTAAAGATGGCCGCCACTAATATACTGGGGAGTCAGCGCTGGTTTTAGGGTCAAGTGTAGACCCGTAGTCTCCTGACAGGAGGGAGAGCTGGTGACATGTGGAGGTGATGACCCAGGAGAGCTGTATGAGGTGAGAGGGGAGGTGGTAGGGGGGACATGACTTTATGTAGTGTTGATGGTGTGTGTCATGGCTCACCCGTATGGTTGTCATTGGGCTCCTGCATGCAGGGCACACACTTTACATCATGGCAGGACAGAGCTGAGTGACCTTTGTGTCTGCTGCAACTGCAGAGCTGGCCATACATGTGACAATCTGATTGTATAATCTCCTTAAAGTGACCCATCAACCTTATTTTGCACATTTCCTAATATTATTGCCCCCTTCCTATGCCAAAATGTCATATTTGTTTTCTGTTGCTGTCCCTGTACATCCATCTTTCTTGCCCAGGCCACAAGGAGGTTCCTTGCAGTTTCTGAAGACCCCAGAGATATGGCTGTCCTATATCCCAGTCAGGTGACTACGAGAGCGCTGAGTGAGCATGCGCCACCAATCCCGCACATGGGCACCCAGCACTGTTCAGATTTTTTACATGTTGTCGTGGTAACGGCAGCATGTAAACAGTTTAATTCCAAGGTTAGAGCGCTACGTGTGCATGCATGGGGGCAGGCACAGGAAAGAAACCACCCCTTTCTTCCATATTGAAAATGGCGGCGAGGCAGGGACCGGGCACTCAGGGATTTCAACAGAATGCAAGAAATCTTTAGGCCGCCGCTGACTGCCTATTGTTTACATGTTGGCCCCAAATAACACATTCATGTGGTGCATGTACAGAATGACCTCGGCCCTCAGATAAATCTAAATCAATAATGATTATGTTCCCTTCATTACCCAGATTTAACCCCAATTCCCCCCTCCCTCCACCTCTAAATCATGCCCCAGCTTTATGATTTTTCTTCCTTAACCTCTTTCCTGTAGCGAGAAACCGCTTGTGACGTTATCACCGGGCTTAAAGAATTCTTCCAACTGCGCCCCATTCCTCCATTTCCTCTGCTAGATTATGTCCCAACATTGTTCATTTTCTTATACTGTGTTGCTGTAGGGTGGGCAGCAGCTTTTATTGCTCCCTGTGATGTCATCACCAAGCTTGGGTACTTCTTGCACGGGCAAGACATAGCCACACCTCCAGAATTACATCTCCCAAGAGCCCTGGTGGGCAGGCTCTTGGGCATCAAGGCAGTGGTAATGTTTTGCTGGGAGTATGTATGGGAAGAGGGAGAGTGAAGGAGTGTAAAAGGAGTTCTGTGTGCAGTTTTTTGTTTTTGTTTCAGCAGTTGGATTGGTTGCTGACATTGTTTTACTTACTCTGCTTCATCGTCAGGGCCAAGTTCCGGGAATCATGCTTGCCAGCGTGAAGCTCGCCACCAGGCTTGTGTCACACCATCCTTGGCACTATTGTCACCGAAGTGTAACCAGATTAAGTGTGCATGAAGTGCTCACCGGCCATAATGAAGACAAAAAGAAAGTGAAAATTCAGGTATGTGAGAACTCTGTACTAATAATTCACCAGAAGTACGTCCTTCCGCCTCACTGCTACTCCCCCTGCCGCATTGATCAGAGGGAAGATGGAGAGATACAAAGTAACATTGTATATAAACATTGATCAGAGGGAGATAGAGAGATACAAAGTAACATTGTATATAAACATTGATCAGAGGGAGATAGAGAGATACAAAGTAACATTGTATATAAACATTGATCAGAGGGAGATAGAGAGATACAAAGTAACATTGTATATAAACATTGATCAGAGGGAGATAGAGAGATACAAAGTAACATTGTATATAAACATTGATCAGAGGGAGATAGAGAGATACAAAGTAACATTGTATATAAACATTGATCAGAGGGAGATAGAGAGATACAAAGTAACATTGTATATAAACATTGATCAGAGGGAGATAGAGAGATACAAAGTAACATTGTATATAAACATTGATCAGAGGGAGATAGAGAGATACAAAGTAACATTGTATATAAACATTGATCAGAGGGAGATAGAGAGATACAAAGTAACATTGTATATAAACATTGATCAGAGGGAGATAGAGAGATACAAAGTAACATTGTATATAAACATTGATCAGAGGGAGATAGAGAGATACAAAGTAACATTGTATATAAACATTGATCAGAGGGAGATAGAGAGATACAAAGTAACATTGTATATAAACATTGATCAGAGGGAGATAGAGAGATACAAAGTAACATTGTATATAAACATTGATCAGAGGGAGATAGAGAGATACAAAGTAACATTGTATATAAACATTGATCAGAGGGAGATAGAGAGATACAAAGTAACATTGTATATAAACATTGATCAGAGGGAGATAGAGAGATACAAAGTAACATTGTATATAAACATTGATCAGAGGGAGATAGAGAGATACAAAGTAACATTGTATATAAACATTGATCAGAGGGAGATAGAGAGATACAAAGTAACATTGTATATAAACATTGATCAGAGGGAGATAGAGAGATACAAAGTAACATTGTATATAAACATTGATCAGAGGGAGATAGAGAGATACAAAGTAACATTGTATATAAACATTGATCAGAGGGAGATAGAGAGATACAAAGTAACATTGTATATAAACATTGATCAGAGGGAGATAGAGAGATACAAAGTAACATTGTATATAAACATTGATCAGAGGGAGATAGAGAGATACAAAGTAACATTGTATATAAACATTGATCAGAGGGAGATAGAGAGATACAAAGTAACATTGTATATAAACATTGATCAGAGGGAGATAGAGAGATACAAAGTAACATTGTATATAAACATTGATCAGAGGGAGATAGAGAGATACAAAGTAACATTGTATATAAACATTGATCAGAGGGAGATAGAGAGATACAAAGTAACATTGTATATAAACATTGATCAGAGGGAGATAGAGAGATACAAAGTAACATTGTATATAAACATTGATCAGAGGGAGATAGAGAGATACAAAGTAACATTGTATATAAACATTGATCAGAGGGAGATAGAGAGATACAAAGTAACATTGTATATAAACATTGATCAGAGGGAGATAGAGAGATACAAAGTAACATTGTATATAAACATTGATCAGAGGGAGATAGAGAGATACAAAGTAACATTGTATATAAACATTGATCAGAGGGAGATAGAGAGATACAAAGTAACATTGTATATAAACATTGATCAGAGGGAGATAGAGAGATACAAAGTAACATTGTATATAAACATTGATCAGAGGGAGATAGAGAGATACAAAGTAACATTGTATATAAACATTGATCAGAGGGAGATAGAGAGATACAAAGTAACATTGTATATAAACATTGATCAGAGGGAGATAGAGAGATACAAAGTAACATTGTATATAAACATTGATCAGAGGGAGATAGAGAGATACAAAGTAACATTGTATATAAACATTGATCAGAGGGAGATAGAGAGATACAAAGTAACATTGTATATAAACATTGATCAGAGGGAGATAGAGAGATACAAAGTAACATTGTATATAAACATTGATCAGAGGGAGATAGAGAGATACAAAGTAACATTGTATATAAACATTGATCAGAGGGAGATAGAGAGATACAAAGTAACATTGTATATAAACATTGATCAGAGGGAGATAGAGAGATACAAAGTAACATTGTATATAAACATTGATCAGAGGGAGATAGAGAGATACAAAGTAACATTGTATATAAACATTGATCAGAGGGAGATAGAGAGATACAAAGTAACATTGTATATAAACATTGATCAGAGGGAGATAGAGAGATACAAAGTAACATTGTATATAAACATTGATCAGAGGGAGATAGAGAGATACAAAGTAACATTGTATATAAACATTGATCAGAGGGAGATAGAGAGATACAAAGTAACATTGTATATAAACATTGATCAGAGGGAGATAGAGAGATACAAAGTAACATTGTATATAAACATTGATCAGAGGGAGATAGAGAGATACAAAGTAACATTGTATATAAACATTGATCAGAGGGAGATAGAGAGATACAAAGTAACATTGTATATAAACATTGATCAGAGGGAGATAGAGAGATACAAAGTAACATTGTATATAAACATTGATCAGAGGGAGATAGAGAGATACAAAGTAACATTGTATATAAACATTGATCAGAGGGAGATAGAGAGATACAAAGTAACATTGTATATAAACATTGATCAGAGGGAGATAGAGAGATACAAAGTAACATTGTATATAAACATTGATCAGAGGGAGATAGAGAGATACAAAGTAACATTGTATATAAACATTGATCAGAGGGAGATAGAGATATAAAGTATCCTCTGTATTATATGGTGGAAAGTTAATCTGGGGAATGTATTATCTGCATCTTGTATTCATGGAATTACGTGTGACTGAAGCTGTGAAAGTTCTTTTAGTCTTGTTTTTCCACCATTATAAAATGTGTGGGCTCTCTAAACTCTTCTCTTTCCGCAGGGTTGGGTGCGCTCTGTCCGAGCCCAGAAAGAAGTTTTGTTCCTTCATGTCAATGACGGATCTTCTCTGCAGAACCTTCAGATCGTGGCTGAGCCCAGCCTCAAACACAGGTAGTGGTCGATGCATCAGGACAGAACTATCATAAAATGATCATCTTAGGTTCTCTTCTATATGGCCCACATGTGTATGTCTTAATGTACCCATCTACCTGACATGAGGAGGGAGGTGATGGAGCCCAGAACATTGCCAGCACGGGATATGGAGCAGTATTGGGGTACCCTTCTAGCTGCAGACATCCTCCTACCTGCACTGGTCAGCATTCCTTGAACTTGGGGTAATAGAGTACGTTTTTAATATCCTGTAAGGCCGCTTGTTAGCGGACAAGGGGGTGTCAAAATCCCAGTCTAATGTTACATGCAGGCAGTGTAAGTAACTGGATTTGAGCTGGCATCAGCCTCTTGCAGTCCCAGTATAGCAGATTTCAGAATGGTAGAAGGAGAAGCAGCACCAAGGAGCCAGTTGGTTGTGCTGCAGTTCCCATGTGCTGCTAACAAGGAACATGCTAGTAGGAGGATAGAGCAGAGTGACAGAGAAGAGCTCATCAGGCTTCTGCTTCACCTTTTACCCTCCAGTCACAGGTTTGGAGAGAGACGAGATCTGTAAGTATTACCAACCTGCGGCAGAGAAAAATCAGCTCTCTTGCCCTTCCAGACAGGGCTGTGCTGTGTGGCAGATCTGTGTAAATCTCAGGACTGGATGGACAGAAATATAAATCCTTTGGGTGGGGGGGGTAAAAAGTTCCTTTTTATATGTATTTGATCTGTGTATTTAGCTGCTACCAGTAGTTCAGCTTCAATGGTAAAGAGCAAGACCATTATACTTGCTTGAAACCAGTTTTCTTTTTTGGCTGTGGTTAATATATTAGGATTGTAAGCTGTACCTCGTCTCTCCAATGTGCTTCTCTTCTTTCCATTCAGCTCCATCAGTTTCGGCAGTGCAGTGGAAGTGTCGGGGGATCTGGTGAGGAGTGTGGGCGCCAAACAGAGTGTGGAGGTCAAGGCAGAAGACATTCGAGTGGTTGGAGAATGTGACACCACAGTAAGTTTTTCATCTATAATGCCAGATACGGGAGCGCATGTATTCATGTTTCTTAAAGTGACACTAAACTCGGGAGGTAAAATCTTCAAAATACATTCAAGTACCTTTAGCTATTATCAACAATGTACCTTATGTGTGTATCACGCGGCTGTAGATCCTCCAATCATCTCTGAATTGGTGCTGACACTGTCCTTCCTTCTGGAGGGGGGTTACTTTTGTTCCCCATGGTCCCTGTGTGTGTTGTTGATGGACTACAATCTTAATACAAGTCAGTTAACTAAACATGAGATTGTAGTCCATCATAGGAGTGTAGTAAAGTAGCCACCATTCCAAGCTCACTCAAGGGATGGACTACAATCTCATGCTTAGTTTACTAATTTGTTTTGAGATTGTAGTCCATCACGGGAGCGAGCTTGGAGCGGTGTCTAGTTTGTGTCCTCCCGTTACCCTTAGGAGAACTGTGGGGAAAAGCCCTGACCCAATAGTTCTCCTTTAAATTCAGATGTCACTTCCTTGCAATGTTGCAGATAGTGGTGGTTGCAGCAACGTACATGATTTGTGTACAGAACATCCTCTGAAGTCTCAATTCTTGTGGAGTAATTGGCTCTGTGTTTTCCCCACAAAGTCTCAGCAGAGCTGGAAGTTGAAGTAGAAGCATCCCCTGCACTAGGAGTTTAATATTTAGGGCGCATGAAGCCATGGAACGTAAATTGTGGACATATTTCTGTGGCCAAGATGACAAAATAGTTCCGTGATTTTTCAATTCTGTGGCCTTATTCCTTTCTGTATCGGAGGCCTTAGGCCCCATTCACACTCCGCGATATGCAAATTGCGCGATATCGCGAGATTTGCCGCGCGATATCGCGTTCAAGCTTGCATTGAGCAAGCTTGAATCGCGGCTAAATCCGCTCCAAAAAGGGTCCTGCTGTAGCGACACACGACCCGCGACAGCAGGACCCTTTGCCCCATTGAAATGCATTGAAGAGCGATATGCATATAAATCGCTCAATTTGAACGGGGCTTCACTCAGATACTTTGCTATGACTTCTGCTGCTCACTGGTTGCCATCACTGCGATGGGCAGCCCCACTAACCTCTAATGTGTTGGAGTGGGGCGAGGCCAGCGTTGGAGTGGGGCGAGGCCAGCGTTGGAGTGGGGCGAGGCCAGCGTTGGAGTGGGGCGAGGCCAGCGTTGGAGTGGGGCGAGGCCAGCGTTGGAGTGGGGCGAAGCCAGTGTTGGAGGGGGGGGAAGCCAGCGTTGGAGTGGAGGAAATCGCTCAATTTGAACGGGGCTTCACTCAGATACTTTGCTATGACTTCTGCTGCTCACTGGTTGCCATCACTGCGATGGGCAGCCCCACTAACCTCGCCAGCGTTGGAGTGGGGCGAGGCCAGCGTTGGAGTGGGGCGAGGCCAGCGTTGGAGTGGGGTGAGGCCAGCGTTGGAGTGGGGTGAGGCCACAGTCGGTGACCGCGGAAGCTTGTCGCTATGTGCTTATCAGTACTTGGAGTTCAAGACGCCAAATTGTTTTACAGAAAATTGGAACCAACATGCAGAGAGTGGAGTGCTCTGGGTGAACATACTACCAGAAGGTGTCTTTTGTGTTTTGCAGGATTTTCCGTTTAAGATTAAAGAGCGCCACCCCCCAGAATATGTGCGTCAGTTTCCTCACCTGCGCTGCAGGACCAACACGTTTGGATCCTTGCTGAGAATCCGCAGTGAAGCCACGGCAGCAATCCACGAGTATTTCAAGGTAATGTGCTTTTCATCAGCTGATCTTTGTAAATGGCATTGTGCGTATCTGTATTCTGCAGCCAAAGAAACACAACACCGAACCAACATCACTAATGCACTAATCACTAATGGGAACACTGAGTCTGAGCAAAGTAACCAACTGGGTCCAGACCTGTGCTGGATATTGATGGATGGAATATAAGTGGGTATCTCTTGGGTTGCTTTAAACTAGCGTAGACCTTCTTGTCTGTAGCTTTGTTTTCACCTCTGTGGTTATCGGTGTGACATTTTTAAAAATACCTTAAAGAGAACTATGACCAAACCTTTTTTTGTGGCTTTAGTACTCTTTTGGGTCAAATAAGTACATTTACAAATGTCCTCCATTGACCCAAAGTCAGTATCTAGCGGGCTACTCCCCACTAGATGCTGACAGTGCAGAGCCGCTCTGCAGCCGGGAAAGATCCTGACAATATTGTAGGGATCCACCCCGCTGCCTGATTGACAGCTGGCTCTGCCTCTCTAGAGACACAGACCGCTGTGCCCGCCCCCTCGCCCGTCTGTCACTCCAGTGAGCTTCGCAGGAACGGACAGGGGAGGGGGAATCTGCAGGTAGAACACTGTGAGCTGAGTGATCAGTGGTTTGTGATCACTCAGCTCTCGATCTATAGAGCCGGCGTGGGGCACCTGCAGTGTCACACACCGGCTCTAAGTATTGGGAAGAGTAGATTTTACTCTCCCAGTACTTCCCCCCCCTTAATTGTTGTTCATGCATCTGCATCTTAAAGGGGAAGTTTACTTTCTCACACCGACATCACTCTGCCACCTCTCCCGAGCCCCGCTGTAAATTCCTTTGCTCTGCCCCCGCCAGCCAGTGTACGGCCCACAGTGAGCATTCAGCATAAAGCTTGCAAATGATAAGCGCTCATTGGTTTGCAGCACGGTCACATGACCTGATCCCCAACTTAGAAGCGATTCTCACTGGTCAGCGTGGTCATGAGCGTACGCCATTTGCGTGCATTATGCTGAATGCTTACTATGGGGTTGACGTGCGGTGTACAATGTATGGACCATGTAGGAGTGCACGGATACCCTCCTTATCAGCCCATGTGAAAGGGGCCTTAAACTGGAAACTAAAATAAGACAAGGTCATTTTTTTCCTTGCTCTAAATACCAAACTCCACTACTGCAAATGATAAACTCCAGGGGACTACACTACCTCCAGCGCTTGTGTCCCATGCTCCTGCTCGGGCTTCCTGGGCTGGGAACTGTGCGCCAGTTCCACCCCCTGTGGCACCCGAACATAAAAGGCCAATCTAGGATCAAACATCTGCCTTACATAGACTGAGACTTGCCCCCCAAGTAATGCAAAATGTGACGTGACCAACAATGCTATTACATCACTGATTGTGGAGCTTGCATCAGTACTTTGTAAATGGGTTCTCTTGTAAGAATCCCCAATCTACCCAGTGCTCAGGTCTGAGCGAATGGCCGCTCTGGCCCAAGCACTGTATCTTGCAAAGAAGTTGCATGCTTCCCCTTAGCCCAAAGCTACAAATAGTTATTGACGGCTCTGAAGGAAGAACAGAACGGCAGGGAGGCACTGCAAAGGTAAGTAATGCTAGGTGTGTGCCCATTCAGGGTTCCATATTAAGGGCTTCCATATAAATAATGATATTTTAGTAGAGTGCCAGTAGGACATCTGGGGCCTGAGAACATGGGCCAATCAAAGCAAGGTCTGCACAGCTTATACGAACAGGATAAAAATGCTTGGAGGAAGTGCTTTTCCCCATAGTTCTCCTAAGGGTCACGGGAGAACACAAACTATCGTTCTCCCGTGACCCAAAGCTCAGTATACCGCGAGCTACAGCTCGCGGTATACTGAGACGCCGCAGCCGGAACGGATCCCGACATTGCTGCCGAGATCCACCCAGCTGCGGGATTGACAGCTGGCTCTGCCTATCTAGAGTCAGAGCCAGCTGTACCCGCCCCCGTCCGTTCCGCCAGTCAGCGCTGGAGGATCGGACAGGGGAGGGGGGGAATCCCTGCACGGAGCCGTGAGTGACAGTCACAGCTCTCTGCAGGGAGATCGAGAAGTGAGCGAGCGACGGTATGTGTTCGCTCACTTCCCGATCTACTGAGCCGACCTGTGACAGTTTCATTGTCATAGGTCGGCTCAGATTATGAGGCTGAGTGAAAATCACTCACTTCATAATTCTCCTTTTCAACCCTTCCAGATGGCCATAGGCAGCAGATACAATGGCCTGTCAGTGTCTTCCTACATGTGAAAATGAATTCACATAACCTATTCATCTCCTAAATGTAGTTCTTCCATCAACAATGCTTAGATGTGCTTCCTAAAAGTCACCACAAGATGGCGCACTTTTTTCATAAAATGTGTGCCTTCAGATGTGTGCGCTGGACCAAAATGGGAGCAGTACCGTATGTACAAAATATCTGGAATCATGTTTTCATCAGTGGAACAATTAAATCTGTATTTCTTTTTATTGAATGCATCTTACAATATAACTATACAATTCCTTTTCCAAATCAGTAGTGGCTACAAATTACCATATATACTCGAGTATAAGCCGAGTTTTTCAGCCCATTTTTTTTGCTGAAAAGTGCCCCCCTCGGCTTATATTCGGGACGGCTTATCCTCGAGTATATACGGTAAATGGATAGTTTAGATCAGGGGTAGCAAACCTCCGGCCCTCCAGCGGTGGGGGAACTACAAATCCCATGCGGCATTGCAAGATTCTCACAGCCCCAGACATGACTCCCGAAGAGAGATGCATCATGGGATTTGTAGTTCCCCCACCGCTGGAGGGCCGGAGGTTTGCTACCCCTGATCTAAACTATCCATTTACCGTATATACTCGAGGATAAGCCGTCCCGAATATAAGCCGAGGGGGGCACTTTTCAGCAAAAAAAATGGGCTGAAAAACTCGGCTTATACTCGAGTCAGCGTCAGGTTTCTTCTTACTTACCTCGCCGAGCGTCGCGTCACTGCTGCTCCGGTGGGCGGCGCTCCGAGCGGGGTCATCTGGCAGTCTCCGGCCACCTAAATTAGGACCCGGAGACTGCCAGATGACCCCGCTCGGAGCGCCGCCCACCGGAGCAGCAGTGACGCGACGCTCGGCGAGGTAAGTAAGAAGAAACCTGACGCTGACTCGAGTATAAGCCGTCCCGAATATAAGCCGAGGGGGGCACTTTTCAGCAAAAAAAATGGGCTGAAAAACTCGGCTTATACTCGAGTCAGCGTCAGGTTTCTTCTTACTTACCTCGCCGAGCGTCGCGTCACTGCTGCTCCGGTGGGCGGCGCTCCGAGCGGGGTCATCTGGCAGTCTCCGGCCACCTAAATTAGGACCCGGAGACTGCCAGATGACCCCGCTCGGAGCGCCGCCCACCGGAGCAGCAGTGACGCGACGCTCGGCGAGGTAAGTAAGAAGAAACCTGACGCTGACTCGAGTATAAGCCGTCCCGAATATAAGCCGAGGGGGGCACTTTTCAGCAAAAAAAATGGGCTGAAAAACTCGGCTTATACTCGAGTCAGCGTCAGGTTTCTTCTTACTTACCTCGCCGAGCGTCGCGTCACTGCTGCTCCGGTGGGCGGCGCTCCGAGCGGGGTCATCTGGCAGTCTCCGGCCACCTAAATTAGGACCCGGAGACTGCCAGATGACCCCGCTCGGAGCGCCGCCCACCGGAGCAGCAGTGACGCGACGCTCGGCGAGGTAAGTAAGAAGAAACCTGACGCTGACTCGAGTATAAGCCGTCCCGAATATAAGCCGAGGGGGGCACTTTTCAGCAAAAAAAATGGGCTGAAAAACTCGGCTTATACTCGAGTCAGCGTCAGGTTTCTTCTTACTTACCTCGCCGAGCGTCGCGTCACTGCTGCTCCGGTGGGCGGCGCTCCGAGCGGGGTCATCTGGCAGTCTCCGGCCACCTAAATTAGGACCCGGAGACTGCCAGATGACCCCGCTCGGAGCGCCGCCCACCGGAGCAGCAGTGACGCGACGCTCGGCGAGGTAAGTAAGAAGAAACCTGACGCTGACTCGAGTATAAGCCGTCCCGAATATAAGCCGAGGGGGGCACTTTTCAGCAAAAAAAATGGGCTGAAAAACTCGGCTTATACTCGAGTCAGCGTCAGGTTTCTTCTTACTTACCTCGCCGAGCGTCGCGTCACTGCTGCTCCGGTGGGCGGCGCTCCGAGCGGGGTCATCTGGCAGTCTCCGGCCACCTAAATTAGGACCCGGAGACTGCCAGATGACCCCGCTCGGAGCGCCGCCCACCGGAGCAGCAGTGACGCGACGCTCGGCGAGGTAAGTAAGAAGAAACCTGACGCTGACTCGAGTATAAGCCGTCCCGAATATAAGCCGAGGGGGGCACTTTTCAGCAAAAAAAATGGGCTGAAAAACTCGGCTTATACTCGAGTCAGCGTCAGGTTTCTTCTTACTTACCTCGCCGAGCGTCGCGTCACTGCTGCTCCGGTGGGCGGCGCTCCGAGCGGGGTCATCTGGCAGTCTCCGGCCACCTAAATTAGGACCCGGAGACTGCCAGATGACCCCGCTCGGAGCGCCGCCCACCGGAGCAGCAGTGACGCGACGCTCGGCGAGGTAAGTAAGAAGAAACCTGACGCTGACTCGAGTATAAGCCGAGTTTTTCAGCCCATTTTTTTTGCTGAAAAGTGCCCCCCTCGGCTTATATTCGGGACGGCTTATACTCGAGTATATACGGTAAATGGATAGTTTAGATCAGGGGTAGCAAACCTCCGGCCCTCCAGCGGTGGTGGAACTACAAATCCCATGAGGCATTGCAAGATTCTCACAGCCACAGACATGACTCCCGAAGAGAGATGCATCATGGGATTTGTAGTTTCACCACAGCTGGAGAGCCGAAGGTTTGCTACCCCTGGTTTAGTTTAGATCTTCATATTACATTTTGTAAATCTGACAGAGATTGTAAAAAGATTGCACAGTCAGATTGTAACTTGCACGGTGGGTTTAAGGGGTAGTGGAACCATAGATCTAAGGTCATTACATATAGTAATGCTTGTTAAAGCTGAACTCCATCCTTCCCTTCAGTCTTGCACAGTTGTACCGGCTCCTCTCCTGAACTGAAATGGCTTCCTCTGATGTCACTGCACACTGCGAGCTTCTCACAATGTGCATTAGAAGCTGCAGCAAGTCAGATAGAGCCCGCCTCATTTCCTGGCTGGAGGATATCCCACTTCATCTAGCCTATTGCTCCCCAGCCTGGCTGTCCAATCCCTTTCATTCATTGGATCTCAGTTATTTTAATTGTGGAGGCTCAGCATCACAGCACTAGGTGTCCCCATTGGAAGATTTCCCCTCTTCTGCTGTTCAGGCCCCAGCCTGTAAAATTCTGCCTGTCCCATCCCATGACAACGGTCACCAGGGCAAATAGAGGGGAGAATCTCTCCAACTGGGACACTGACAGCAATAAAAACACAATGGAGGTTCTAATCTAACTGATTGGGTAAGAAAATAACAAAACCCAATGTAAATGCCCATTTTACTACGCTTAAGCTGCCGTCTCGTGATCTTCTGTACAAAGGCTTCTCGCTTCCTTTGTTTGGTGTCCACGTCTCTGCATGCATGATAGGGACAGTTCCTAGTTGCTGTCCAGTGGCGGCGGGTCCTCTCAGGATCCAGAAGAGGCTTGACATGAGCACGATGGGGTAGTAGGGGAAGAGGCGGCTTTGGAAGCATCCAGTAGCTCTGGATTAGCTGTCCCCTGCACCCGGAAATAGCAGCGACGAGGGACCTGGACAGGGGACTGTCAGTGAATATGTTTTACTTTCAGCAGGTAAGAATGGGTCTTTCATTACACATTATGCTCCAGTGGTTTTGGGGAGTTCTGTCACTGTGATGCAGGCAGCGTTGTTCCAGAGTGTCGCTTTACACCTCTCTTCTCTCTGCTTATAGAGTAATGGTTTCATTCACATCCACACCCCTATAATTACCTCTAATGACTGTGAGGGAGCGGGAGAGCTCTTCCAGGTCCAGGTAAGTGCTGACTTAACATTTTGCTTTTTAAAATGAAAACTTTTTCTTAGTAGTTGTTGTACCTTAGACATGCTACGTATTCCCAAAAATACGGCTCTGAAGTGCACAGCCTTGCCCCTTCATGTTTTCAGTATTGCGTGCTGTGTTGAAACGCACAGCTGCCAGGAGGTGCATTTGGGGTTGCATTCAAATAAAAAACAATGCACCTAGCTCACGGTACCGCATGCTAGGTGCGCTGTGTGAACGCAATCCCTTCGGGCTTCTTCACACCATGTCCAGATCATGTCCAGACCAGAAGAGTTTGTTCCCAGACCAAAAAAAACACCCCAATGTAGTGAAGTAATATATGGCGGGAAGTATAAATATACATCTACCCAAATATATGTATTTATATGCGTTGTGAAAATCCAGGCAACCTCCGCTCTTTTTCCAGAGAGTAGCGTTTAATCCAACAAAAAGGCAGATGAACAGGAACAGTCCAACAGAGTAATACAGAGTAATGATAAAATAAAGTAAATTAAAGTGACATTAAACCCTCAGATTTTTTAACATAAACCAATACTGTAATGTGTTCCTTACTGTAATCCATGGTTGTTTCCCTTCTCTTTGCTGCTCTTCCTTTTAAATCTGTATCTGTGCTCATGCTGGGGGATAACTTCCCTTTGCAGCTGAGTGCCTCTTCCTGTAGTGCTGGCTCAGGTTGTGAATCTGCACACAGACACCATGTATCCATTCTAGAGACAAGGCAGTCTGCTGCAAAACAGAAGTTCTCCCCCAGCATGAGAAGAGATAAGGATTTAAAAGGAAGAGCAGCAAAGAGAAGGAAACTACCATGGATTACAGGAAGGCGCACATTACAGTATTGTTTTATGTTATAAAATCTGAGGGTTTAATGTCACTTTAATGACGGTTCCCAGTGAGTACCCTTCCCTATACCATCTCTCTCTCCCTCTTCCTTTCTCTCTGTATTTCTGGGCTCTGTTCACACCAGAGCAGTCTGTTCTGGTCCAGACAATAAAACTACTGCATGTCTCATTTTCTCTGGTGTGGAACGCGTGGAAACTCATCAAAAATCGCAAGCGTATATGCAAACGCACTGGACCGCACCTAAAACCCCCGCTGCAGAAAGTGGCAAAATCGCTGTAAAAATTGCAGCGAAACATAATGCAACGTGTTCCAGATCTGGGCTGGAAAATGGTGTGAACCTGGCCTTAGTACAACGCTCCAGTAGGAATGGGCCCTTAGACTGACAGTGACTTGCGCTCTACTGGAAGGATACTGCACTGAGGCCGCCTACACTCTGCCCTTGCCAGATCTGGACCCAATTGAGTCAACAGGGGGGCCTGGGCCCAGTATGGGAGTATAGCCTCCCTATTGGTGGCCCTGCTGCAATATTCTGTACGTAGTGACGCATCAGCTTTTTAAATACTATTACTTCTTGCAGGCTGGAAGTAAGGACCCTGCTCCAGGAGAAGATGGCGGATTTTTCGGGGTTCCAGCGTTCCTTACTGTATCTGGTCAGCTACATCTGGAAATTATGTCAGGGTAATGCGGTGTGCGTGCTCTTTGTTTGGTGTAGTAATCCCAAAAACGTTTGCCAGTCACTGAGGGCAATCATTCCAGTTCAGGTTACACAAAGTCTGGAATTGGCCATTCCAGTGTCTGATTTATTTATATATCCGAGCAAAGCTGCTGACTTCATGACATCAAGATTGCCATTGGAGGGAGACTGTACAGCTCTATGTATGACTTACCATCATGACACAACAGTCATGCCAAGTAAAAATAACTCCAAAAATGTTTTTGGCCTTTATTACAGTTTTATAGTGCTGACTATTTATACACTGTCCTACAGAGGACATTTATAGCATTCGCATCAGTCCTTACTCTCAATGTAATTATCTTGACTGTAATCATAGACATGCAGTAAGGGCAACTCTGATGGCAGCTGATTAAGAATAAGTGTTAAGTTGTGAGAGGAAAACGGAACCCCTGGAGAGGGACATTTAGACCTTCCGTTTCTTCTACTGCTAGCAAAAACATAATAAAAAAGAAAAAAGTTACCAAAAAAGGTAATAAAGGCCGAGAGAAGTGGCGGGTAACAGTGTAAGTCAATGTGAATTCAAGTCAAGCCAAGCCAGGAGCGTACACCTGCACAGACTCCGTGGGACACAGCAGTCAGTGTTGGATCAGAGATCGGCACCAGCGCTGGAGGGACAGCTGGATAAAACTGGCTAATAGCCTTTAATGTCACTTTAATAATGTACAAACCCCATGCAGAGAGTGTCATTGATAGGAATGTGTCTGAGGACCACAGCTCTGCCAGAATGCTAAGCACTGTGCTTTCCCTCTAGTTACCTGCACATTGTAAAATTGTTTGTTTTCTGTTATTGTAGAGCAGCCTTTCCATCATTTAAACCCTGGAGGAACCCTTGAAATCATTTTTCAGGTCTTGGGTAACCCCTGGTAAAACCAATGTCATTGGTGGTCAGTGGTAAGAATGCTCCTTACATTGGTGGTCCGAATGCCACCCTTACCAACAGCTAAAAAGATAATTGGTGTCATGCAGCTGGCTCTGCCAAGTGGTGTTGGTCCTGAAACTATGTAGGCACCATCAAATAGGGAGGTCAATCATCCACAGCTCAAGGAACCCCCCCCCCCCCAAAAAAAAAATAAAATTTCC